AGTTGGTAAAAACTGATAATTTTATGGATTTTACCTAGTTACATCCTCCAGTGCCATTGGTGGTAAACTACTTGTAGCATTGTAATTACAGTTAAATCTAATCCTTCAAACTACAGGCATTTAAGTCTGTCATCAAACCAATAGCAAAGCCTGCAGAGACGTCACCTAGGTATTTAAAAATCTCTGCTTTTTTCTTACGTAATTTTTAATTTTCCAAAAAAAGGCATTTCTAAAAGTCCACCAGTTTATAAGTTATTAATTTAATACACGACTTAATCACTTGCATCCTGCTTCAAAAGCCTATTAAATCTGCACTTGAAAGGGAATCCTCTGAACTGTCATTCATGCTAAAATTTGACACTCTGCGCTGGGGGCTCAAGAAAGACTCTAGCTATCTCACCCATTACAAAGATAGCTTCCCCAATTATCACCACCATTAGCTCACAGATATTTACCTTTCCCTCCCCTCCATCCCCCTTCTGTTCTGAAATTTGATTTGTCCTTTTCATATATATTCATTTTTTTAATTGTATCCTTTGGTATATATGGTTGTGACTATTTTCTTCCACTATTTGATCTGAGGAAGTGGGTCTGGCCCACGAAAGCTCATCATCTAATAAACCATCTTGTTAGTCTCTAAAGTGCTACAAAGGTATTGAGGGGTCTAAAGCCCATATTAGGCACTTAAGTCCCAGTTTGGTTCTACTGCCACAGAAAACTCCCACCTGCACCCTGTGGTACTTAAACTCACACAGCAGCTAAGTTTCCACGGTTAACAGATCCCTCAGTGCCTAGGTTTCTGCCATGTTCAACTATTGTGCTTTGCATTACCATATGGAAGAAACAGAAATTCTTCATGGCTCCATCTCCTTCATATGCACCATAATTATTAATGAAGTAATTACTGAATTGTATTGCAACACAACTAAGGTTCCAATTATGAGCAGGGCCTCTTTGTGTTAGCTGCTACAAAAACATAGGAAGATGTAGTCCCAATATGAATTACTTCAGATACTCCAAATCCCCTTCTTATGAAAACTGCAATTATATTCCATTTTGTTACACATGGACATCTTCTGGAATCTGCAGAAATTATTGAACAGAAATTTCCATTCAGTTTACATGCGTATTGCAAACTGTTAGCTTTGCTATTTTACACAGAGCAGAGCTCATGTTTAAAAACCCTTACAACTTGGCCACAACATACCCAATTTTCACCAGATCAGTAAAAAAAAAATGCATAAACCCAGGGATGGCTTCTGATAACTTTCAATTTTCCATCACGATGGCCAGAGTTGATATAAATTTTCAGAAACTGATTGTGACACATTTTCTTAGCAGAAAAACTACAAATTTGTTTTCAGTACCTCTGATTTTAAATCTCAGCCATTTTGATTGAACTTGTACAAAAATATGTGCTTCCTGATTCATTTATAACAAATTTTAACTGTAATTGTAAGACTTGGGAGAAAGTTATAAGCAACTGAAACTTAACTCTTCGGAATAGAAATACTTAAGCAATCTTTACTACAAATTTCCCTAAACGTATTGATATTTCTGAAAGATTATTTAGAAGAAAATAGAATTAAAATACTAGGCCAGATCAACAAATCATTAAGTTCAGGTATCTTGAATTGTGCAAGGGCCAATGAATGGTGAGAGCTAAACACTTTGGCTGTGTCTAGACTGGCAAGTTTTTCCGCAAAATCATCTGCTTTTGCAGAAAAACTTGCCAGCTGTCTACACTGGCCGCTTGAATTTCCGGAAGAGCATTGACGATTCATGTAAGATTGTCAGTGCTTTTCTGGAAATACTGTGCTGCTCTTGTTTGGGCAAAAGTCTTTTTCCGAAAGACTTTTGCACAAAAGGGCCAGTGTAGACAGCACAGTACTGTTTTCCGCAAAAAAGCCCCGATCGCAAAAATGGCGATCGGGGTTTTTCTGCGGAAAACCGTGTCTAGATTGGCCACGGACGCTTTTCCGCAAAAAGTGCTTTTGTGGAAAAGTATCCTGCCAATCTAGATGTGCTTTTCCGAAAATGCTTTTAACTGAAAACTTTTCCGTTAAAAGCATTTTCGGAAAATCATGCCAGTGTAGACATAGCCTTTTAGTGAGCGGGTATTGCCTATGGAATAGATGTCCAGAGGGGATCAGACTAATCCAGGGTCTGAACACTTTTAGGGCATGTTCCTCTTTGATAAAGCATTTCTACCAAAGTAAGTAAATTCTTTCCTGAACAGGGAAGCATTCTTCCTACCTTGCACAGGAGGGGAAAACAGAAAACTACCTGTTTTAGGGACCTCATCCTGTAGACTTAATTTAGCTGAAAATATTTTGATATTAACATTCTTGGTGCTGCAGGAAACCATAAAATACTTGAATTTGCTGCTGGATGTATCTTATGCTTTGAGTTATTTAAGAAATATCAAAGGCACATAAAATTTAGGATAGCAGCCTCCTTATATTCTAAATTGCAAGGACAAAATAGGAAACTGTTTCCTTTGAAATAGTAATAGAGATGTAGCTGTAACTGTTTTCTTCGACTTTTCTAGATTTAGAAAGAAGGCCTCATCTTCTGGCATCAAGGACAGGAAGAGTTAATCTGTTTAAGATGGAAATTATCCCGAAGGTTACATCACTTATTGTTGCAACAAACTTTAAGATTCCTGAAAATAGATTTTCTGAAGTTTTCTATATGTCTTTGGAGGAGGTAGATGACCAGTGTCCAGATTAATAAATGTGGATTAAAAAAGGAGAATAGAATCTTAACCCTTTCCTAACTATGTTATTAATATTACTTGTAAGATTTCTATCCCTTAAGGGTTAGCTATCTGACTAGATGACAGGAAGAGGAGTGGGGGCTAGCTAGGATTAGACTGGCAGAAAGAATATGTTTGCCCTGAGGTACCCTTAATCACTTTCCTGTTGATGACTCAACTATATTCCTCTCAAAAATTGACTGATGGCACATACTCTTAAAATTTGTTTTGTGAAAGGAAGGAGGTTACCTTGTATGGCATTTTGTAAAATCCTCCCTATTTGGGGTGGGAGTCTTAAAAGTATAGTCATAAAGTAAGCTTATTTTTGTTTTGAAGGATTTGAAGGACAGAGAACTACGCAGCAATGACAAGGTGAAATAAGGTCTGTAATCTTAATGTAGATTCAAAAAGAGAGGCTGGATTAGATTCAGGCCTGTCATTAATTTATGCTAGGCCTTAATCTGTCCTAAGCACTACATTTCTATGGTTGAGTCTTGAAGATGAGGCCCTTAGTCTCTGCATGCTGTGGAAAGTCCTATTAGAGAAATATAGTTTATTAGAACATCAGATATAGTGACACCTGACTAGGGATAGGATCAATCCCAAAGTCAATCAAGTAACAAAAGCTAAAGGACAGAGACTAGCATGGGGCAAACAAGTTCTTTATCTGGCACAGATATAGGGGATTACTGGCTTGACTTCTATAGCATCACCTTCTCTTGCTGTAACCTTTTTGAAAGCAGGTTCTCATCATTATTAGAATCATAACTTCCCTTTTATTATATAGCTAACATTCCACTTTTTTAGTCTCCTCCAAAAGTGGAAGAAAACTTTTTAGAGCAGAATGAGGGTTTACTGGTTCACTTTATGTTCCAGTTCTAGCAAGCTATATACCCAGCCAGTAAGGCAGATTGAAACAGGAAGGGAATCTTTCACAGTAGCAGATGAAGGGAGCGAAGGACTGTGAGGCTGCATTGTGTACTCAAACCAGGTATTAGTAGAGGGGAGAGCTGTTCTGCAGCTGCCCTCCTCCAACACACCTTACTTCAACTCCTGCCTGATCATTGGTCTATCAAAGGAACTACACTGTAGAGACATTATCAGCCAACTGCCTGGTAGGGAAAAGAGCTTTGATCAGCCTTCTAGCATTTTATTAAGCATTAAGAGATCATCTCCTTCAAGTGGTGATTTCTAGGATGCTTTCTGTATCCCATACCACATTTCTCTGTTATTTAATGGTATTTCTATAGAGACCATATGGTTGAGTGTCCCCTCTATGAAGACTTGCTCTACACTTGCCCTTTTTCTTGCCTTTTCCAAGAGCTCCACCTCTGCAATGCTCCTCCAGTAACTTTATTGTTTAACCATACGTATTATATATGACCTCTTGTTACCCTGAGCTAGTGCCTCTGAGACTAGGTACTTTCTGTTCATAATGTGTGGAAGAGAGGTTCAAGCAAGAGCTATCTAGATCCTGCCAAATTTTGGACCAAAATCCTCAAATTGTAAGGTCAAGAAGAGAAAACAAGGGTAGCCACTTTGTGTTTCAACACAGCAGTACCACAACAGCCAGGATGACACTTGGATCCTGCCTATTTTCAGCCTCAGTCTCATAACTTCCACTGCTTAAACAAAATGTTTAGTGCTGCATTTTAAAAATCCCAATCCCAGGGCCCTAACTCCAAATTAGCCCTTTCGCCCCACCTTCCAGGTACCAAAGTATGCTGGGGAAGGGGGACAGGAGGCAGGCAGTGTTTTCCAGAGCAACAAAAGAAGCAACACTTGTTCTTGAGACTGCTGGTACCACTTCTGCCATGATTTGTGGCCAAACTCCGCCATGCTGCCAAGGCCAGGTCCCAGATTCAGTGGTGCTGAATTCTAGGAGCATCTAGGGTCAGACGGCCAAGACAAAGCGAGCAGCAGCGCCTCGTCAGGCTCGGGGGGAGGGGGCGTGTGAGTGAAACTGGGGAAAGCTGGAGCAAGAACTGTCCGGCGCTGACTGGCCCCATTGGGGCGGGAGCAGAAGCAGCTCGGCTCGCTGTGGGGCGGGGGCGCCGATGCAACTTGAGGGCTAGGATGCCAAAGGCGACGAGGCACCGAGCTCCAGCCCTCCCGCAGCAGAGCCACCGCCCCTCGGCGCTGTGATTGGCCTCCCGCTCGCTGCCTGCCCCCTACCTGCCCGGGCACCTGCCGCCGGGCCCCGGGCGCCGCGGCAGAGCCAGGGAGGCGCGCAAGGGTATAAATAACAGGCGCGGCGCGGCGGGCACCCGGGCCTGCAACCAGCCATTTAAGGCAGCGGCGCTGGCCGCGCTAATTCATTACCTCACACCCGACGGGAGCCAGGGCGGCGCCCTCCCCCCCACGGGCCCGCGCAGCCTATGGGGGCCGGGGGCGGGCGCGGGCGCCGGGCCGCTCACCAATGCCAGCAGAGCGGGGGCGGGCCGGTGGCGGCGCCCGGCTCGCCGTGCCTGGGGTTCCCCTGCTGCGCGCGTCGGCTCCCGGGTGGCTGCCAGGCTGGGCTGGGGGACCCGCGCCCGCTCAGAGCCGAGGGGTAAGTGGGCGCCTGCGCCTCGCGGGTGTGGGGGGCGGCGTCCCCGCGGCGGGCAGGCGGGAGCGCAGGGCGCCGGCCCCGGGGAGCTGCTGGTGCCCCGGGGGCGCAGCGCGTCCAGCAGCAGGAGCCGCCGCCGTGCTCCGGGGCTGCCGCGCTTGGAAGCTGCCACCGCGTCGGAGAGCGGCGCTTGCGGGGAGCCGGGCGGCTGCAGCAGCGCCCGGGAACTAGCAGGATGCGATGGCTGCGCGCAACCTGCCCGAGGCGCCTGTGCCAGAGTCAGGTGCGCGGGTTGCACGTTCCCTTTATATAATCCTCCCCCCTGCCGGGGACAGGAAGGGGCGGGGACCTCTTCCTTATCAACCTCGCAGCCTGGCCTCTTGCCCCCTTTATTTGGGCGACGTTCCCGCTCCCACGAGGGTAGGAGGAGAGAGGCGCAGCGGAAAGCTGTTCCCCTTCGCTGGAGCGGCCATCGGACTGGTGCCAGGCAGCTGGGATCCTTCTCCAGCTGCATCTTGTCTAACAGTGCAGGATGGAGGAGCCCGTGAGCGTTGGCAGCTGCATCCCTGATCAGGACTCCTCCTCCCGCTCCTCTGCTTGGGGGACAAGCAGCAGTACCTGCCCGGGAGCGAGCTGGATTCTTGTGTGGTTGATGTTAGCAAGCCCGCCAGGGGTGGTTAGCAGCAGCCCAGCAAGGTTCCCTTCATTCCACCACTCGGAAGCGAGTGCTGCCTTCACCGGGCGCGTTCACCCAAGTATTTCAGATGATATCTGGCTCCGCATTAATTATGTAAATGTTTTAATTGTATTCCACCGTTCTTAGCCCAAACTACCCATGCCTGTTAACCAGAGCTTGGTTAGTCTCGCCTTAGGAAACCCTATTGTGTTTTGATGTAGAACAGGTAGTCACCTTATACAGCCTTTAGTGGGAAGAAAGGGTTCAGTTATTAAAAGCAGTCCAGTGTTAGAGCTTTGTAATATAAATCTACATAGAGCAGATCTGAACAGCCCTCCAAAAATCCCAGCTTGGGGCAGGCAAGAAGGCAGACTGCCCACTGACTGACTGCAGGTAGAAAAGCAAAATGCAGTATAAAAGGAGGAGAAAAAAATGTGAGGAAATGCGCAGTGTTGTGTATTAGCCAACTTTTTTGAGCTAGTTAATTATAAACATAAGTAATTGAAATTATTACTTCACGCTCTGGTAAAACTAGTGGCTTGTGAATGACTGCAGCTCTACCTTGGGCAAATAAGATTTTTTTCCCATTACCATTGCAAAATGTTAGTATTTGAATATTCAGTTATAAAAAACAGATTTTTTTTTGTATTCAGAAATTTGGTGCAAATTTGGTACATATTTGGTACAGTGCACAACTTCATAGTTATTCCATGGGAAACCTAGTGTTTCACCACAATCACTGGGAATGTCATTGGGGAAGTTAGTACAAAGGCTTGCCTTTCATTTTCACATAAACCAGGAAAACTTTGAAATGTGATTCCAAAAAAGATTTAATTTTCTCGATCTTGCTGCCAGAGAGAATCTTTTTACATAGCTCTATTTATGTCTTTTATAATATTTGCACATCTCAGCGGGGCTTCAAGTTTTTTTATGTTAAAATGAAAAATTGAGAACGGAAGGGGAAGCTTCCATTGTAAGTTGTGTTCTCAGGCTTAAAAGATGATTGTTAAGAAGAGCACAGGAATGAAAAGATTCCATTTGGTTCTTAAAATTTCAGCAATCTTTTCTTTTTGCCACTAGCCAAATGCCTTTCAAGTTTAATTACAGCTATTTTCTCTAATGGTTGTACCGAGCTCTTTTATGTCTGTGGACCACAGCCATATGACTGCAACCAGTGTATCACTTGTGACTGCCTAAATGCAATGTTGCCTGTTAAGTATAAAATAGTGTAAGGTTTTATGGAGCCATACATAGAACAAGTTATAGATAATGTATATCCCCATATTTATTTATTACATTTAAGATTATTGTAACTGGGAAAAGGTCTCTATATCAAAGTTTAAGTATGGCAGTTATTTATACATCTTAATACAAGTTATCTATCTTAATACAAGTTTCAGCTGCAGATTGTGCTATTCTGATTTATTGTTTTCTAACTACGCTACTTATAGCCAAATTCACTGTGGCTTTTCCTCAACACTTTTTTGTTAGAGCCCTCAACTTTATACTAAAACAACAAGGACACACTAGTGCTCTTAAGGAGAAGCAATTAATTCTATCTGATGGTTATGTGTGTCACCTCTGCACAGACTAACAAACTTTACTGTATGTCTAGGTATAGAGTGACTAAAGGATAAACCAACTAATATTTTAATTTAGGTAACTATCTGGACTAAAATAAGGGTTCTGAGAGGAAAAGTTAGTGCAGTTCCAAGGTAAAACAGCAGTATGCCATCAAAATTCAAGATGTCTCTTGCATTACATAGTTTACTTATCATACAAGTCTAATTTTTCTTCACTATAATGATGTGCCAATATTTGCAAACTAATTCTGGTTTTCTTTGTGGGGGTTCCCATAACAAGAACATTACTTTCTTCAACGTTATGATTGGCCTAACTTCTCCATCTTACTCATGTATATCTGCTGACCCTATTTAAGGAAGATAGTCTATAATGTTTAGCAAAATATTTTTAATTTTTCTTTCTCTCTCTCTCTCTCTCTCTCTCTCTCTCTCTGAAAAGATCTTCTAATGTAGTGGATTTCAGTTAAATTAAACCTGTCTATTTTTCACCTGAAATGCCTCTTGTTTGTAACTATCTTAAATGATGGCATGCTTTTTATATTTTGATGGGTCAGAACAACAGTTAACATTACTTTTTGCTTGTCATGAATAGACAGTTCTGAGACACTTGTGTTTTAAATGCTTGTTTTAAAAGCCATCAAAAGTGGAGAAAAGGTTAATATTGGCTGAGATGAAGACCTACTGTAAAAATGTCTGTTACTATTGTTCCTTTTAGAAATATGCACTCAGACATTTTCTCAGCAATTGAAAGTTATCTTGTGCCTCATATTGGCACAGGGCTGGAGTAGACTGTGCAGGGGGCTGAGGAGGAACATTATCAGATTAAAAATGGAAATTATTGCAGTATATCTAGGCAGGAGAGATTCTTAGGCACTTCTTCTAGCCAGTTACAATGCTTGAGTTTTAACAAGATTCATGATGGGGATGTGTGTGCGCTAGTTTCCAAGTGGCTCTAACATCTTGTACTCCATTTTTGTTTTGTATTTGGTCCCACCCTTTTTTTTTCTTTGAGATTGTCAGCTACTTTGGTCTTGGAAATGAGATCTGCTGATTTTCTGGGTTGGATGTGTAGCTGAACATTGTAATGCGCAAGTACTAGTAGCCCTTCCCAGACTACAAGAGCCTTTTTTTGCCCAAGTACTAGTGATATATTGTGTGTCAGGCTGATTTTGTGCTGATCTTGTTTTCTTGACATGCAGTAATTTAGGATATTTTAACTAGTGGTGTCCCCCAGGGTTCTTATGAATATTCCCTCTAATTTTTCCATCTGTGTGTGGAATACGTTTTGTTATGTGCACCAAGGCATGCGTAACTGTGGGATGTAAAATCCAAGGCCAGTTTCCCTGAGGGAAGTGCATGGAAACAGCATGCCGGATCTTGACAAGATATTAAAAGAAAATTTAAAGAACAGCCTTGAATGTAGTATTTATCCCAATTAGTGCTTTGAAAGTGCAAGCACTAACAAACTCTGCTGACAAAGGGATACCTATATTGGAATGACCTGAGACTTTTTGGTTTTGAAGTTAAATGTTAAGGACTCTTCATCTTGTAAGGGCTTAAAGGAATACCTAGTAGAGACAGTGTCTGCAATAGGGGTGTTAGATATAATGGTTTTTAGGAATCATGTAGCTGCAACAGTTTTTAACAGTTACACGCTTACTAAAATACTCCTCAGGAGCAGGATTGGCAGCCAGTGTGCTCCCAGCCCCACTCCCAGGGAGCCCTCTTCCACCCTGTGCTGGCTCCTGCCTGCTCCAGCACTGCTGCCTTTGAGAGGCAATGGGGAAGGGGGATGGAAAATAGGTGGCTCTGCAGGAGCTGGCATGTGCACCAGTTCCTACCTCCCCCCACCCTTGATGCCTTTGATACAGAGGCAGCAAGGTGTGTGTGTGTGTGTTAGCACAGGTAATGGTAGCATAGACGCAGTGGCATGGGCTAGCAACCAGAGTACATACCAGTGGTTGCTGGAGGGCTTGTACTTGCATTGTTAGCCTATATTGAAGTCTGTGCCAAAACATCTTCACAATGTTGTTATTCTCACTAGCTAGACTAAAGCTAATACGGGTTATACCTTCTCCTGCCATGATCATGCCTTCACTTGCAGTGCAGACATATACCCTTCACTCTCCTAAGCTAAGACAGGTTGGGATGGACCAGTACTTGAATGGCTGACCTTAAAGGAATTCTCATAGTTTCAGAAAGCACTACTGATGATTCAGCAATTGTTTTTTCCCCATGTTATTTGGTTCTGAACTGTTACCTGCACAATATGCTGTTAGATGTACTTGCTCTGGTGGATTAGAGGTAAAACTGATGAGGCCATTAATTTACAGGGTTTAAGTCCAAAAAGGACCATTACGTGTTATAGCCTGTCTTTCTGTATGTCATGGGTAGGGTAACCAGACAACAAGTATGAAAAATCAGCAAAAGGAGTGAGGAAACTGGCACCTATATATGACAAATCCTATGATTGTCCCCACAAAACCGGGACATCCTCTCACCCTAATCATGGGCCATTAAATTTCACCCACTTACATCTATTTTGAGCCCAGCAACTTGCTTGACTAAAGTACAAAGGCATCCAGTCTTGCTCTGAAAAATCCACTGCTTGCCTCGATAGTTTCAAGGAAGAAACACCCTTGTTATTAAAAATGTGTCCGATTTCTAATTTGAGTTTGTCTAGCTCCATCTTCCAGCCATTCTTATGCCATTCTCCACTAGATTACCAAGACCTTTATTTTTCC